GTGGATTACCACCGGGGACAAAAGCGCTCCACCACCGCAGCGATGAGCCACACAGCACCACTGCACGCTAATCTGGCCCCTATTGAAAAGAGTTCAACAGTGCACTGAGCCAGGTTCGTGAACAAAAGACAGTTATGCAACACCGCACAATCTGGGCTCTGTTTACAAGGCTGCTGGCCGGGCGTCAATGAAGGTCACCTGTCAACTTAGAGTAGTGCCTAAAGATTACTTTGTGCGGCTATAAACCGCAAATGAAATGATGAATTTTTGAAGGATTTTGAAAACCAAAAAAATGATAGTCATGCCGGCCCAGCATCACCAACATTTATGCCCCGGCATAAAGTGGTTAAAACAGTGGGATCTTTGCTCTAAAAGAGGACTGTAGGGTCCTCAATAGCAAAAAGGGACAGGTTGGTCCTCAGTTTAGTAGAGGATGGCAGGGGACTGGTATAAAAAGTGCGAAGCAGGGTCCTCAGTATAAGAGGACAGTAACGTCCTCAGTTTAAACTAGGACAATAGGTTCCTCATCAGTTTAAGAGGACAGTGGGGTGCTAGGTTTCTTAACTGAAGCTATATGCAATTCAAGTGGTCAAAGTTGCAAAAAGAGGTAGTTTTAAATTGATCTGTTAGGACAATGGAGGTACTAAACAGACGTCCTCAGCAGAAGTGCCCACCGGTCATCCCACATGGATTTGGGAGTACGCAACAATAATTCTGACAAGGTTTGATCCTAAGCAGCATTTTGGTTTTTTTTCTAAGCACAGATTTTGCACGTAACACACTTAGTTTCCTCATGAATAGCATACCTGTGGGTTCTTGTCTTCATCTTCATCAGCGGTGGGTGTGATGGACTGATAGAGGACATTGCGAGAACCCCTGGAGGAGGTGGGATTACCCGTAGTAAGTTTCACCATGGACGCTATCTTAGCCCGGTCTTCCTTGCTGCGCCTCAGGAACGAGCCGTGACGGAACTACAACAGATCAGCAAAATTATGAGGGAAATGAAAGCTTGAAAATGGGCATTGCGTTATATTACTGCTTTTTACAAGAATTTGGAGTGGTGTGAGACTGGAATCAGTGGTAGTTTTTTGGTCACCTTTTCACTCCATTGTCCTCGGTTGATTTCAACTTTGACAAGATTGACTTTGTCAGTCATTAGTTGACTGTTTGGGTCTTCTGTGGAATGATTTTTAAGGGCGTTCCCGGGAACAATTCATCTTGCTGCACTTTGTAGAAAGCTGTCGTTGGGTACACTTGCAAAATTACAAAAATCTCAACAGTTTTTGCTGATGGATTCTTAGAAACAACTGCACACAGAGACTGAATTTTCTTCCTTGAGTCCCTGGCTTGTCACAATGAACCAACTTCATTTCTGCCAGATTTTAGTTTCCACGTTGTCTTTAACTCACCAAGCAACAAGTTTAATATTCATAAGGAAAACTAAGCCATTGTGAAATGATCCTTTCCCTGTTAATCTGTTTGAAATTACTAACAGATACAAGTTCAAAACATTTTGAAAACTGCATTCTTTGGGGGGAAGGTTGAAGCTAAGTTATTTTACAGTCAGCCAGGGGTGGGCAGTTGACGCTAAGACCATCCCAAGGTGAGACTCAAGATCAGTCACAAGTAACAGCATGAACAGTGATGGTGGAATGCTTTTTTTGCAGTTCATCTAGAATTCAGAATGGAGGTCTAGTGTTGGTTTTGTGGGCCTCGTGATGGTCCTACGGGGTGGTAGGTCTCATGAACTTCTTACTTTGACTGGCTTGGGTGAGTTGAATCGCTTCTCGTTATCCTTCTGAACAGTTTTGCCGGCGTCACTGTTCATGGGCATCTGGTCTGTGGAACAAACAAACGAGAGATAGTTAAGTGACCTCTCGCAGTGAATTGCTAACCAAGTTGACATTTGAAAACATCCTCTCTGTCACTGAGTGAAAAGTGACAGATGAGTCAATGGCACAACACTGCCTGCACAAATATGACATTTCGCATATTTCTACCACTAGAGGGTTCTGCTCTGAGAAAGGCTAACAGAGCAAAATCATTTGACATACTTTGACATTTAGCAATCTCTGAGGTCACTGGTTTACAACTCTCCCATTTGCACCCTTAAAACCTTTTAATTCATTGACTCAACCTGTACAGAAAGAATACCATTATTGGGAGGTACATGAAAGATGACTACCTTTTTTCTTTTTGTTGATGGCGGTCTTCATAAGGAGGTCAAATTGGCTGTTCTCTTCTGCTATGTCGTTTTCGTCATCAACAGTGTCCTTTGCTGTTTGCTTTTCCTACAAAATTCACCCCAATAAATTAACAGTTAAAAATGACAGATAGATGGTAAGCACCAAACGATGTGTCAGACAGTAGAGTGTATGTTAATCCACACAACCATGATGTTACTGAGATTGGCCAATCAAACTCGACTCAATAGTTTTAAATCCACAACTGAAAAAATGAATCTTAAACACAGATGTGAAATTCAAAGAAACAAATCAACAGTCTCTGAGGACTTCTGTGAATGCTTCAGAGGACACTGTGTAGCGAACTCATGAGAGCTATAGGAAGACACATCAACTCCGCTCAGCAGTGAAGATGTTAAACTGATAGTGACAGGTACGTCAGCATCTTTTCTACAATGACATTCACACCCATCTTCTTCGATCTTCTTTCGATATGCTTGTGTACATATCTCTGAAAAGGGGTTGTGCAAACTCTTTACCACGACCAAATATGACAAAAACAGATCCATACTAAATTCTACTCCACGTTTCGATGGGTGAAATGTTTGACTGTGTCACTGTATGAGATCATGCCGTGCGGCACAGCAGACAGGACTGAGTTATTGTTAACTGGTGCTGTAAGTGGGACTAACAGCTTGGTCTATTCATCTATCCATCCTTGGCCATCGACAACAGACTTTACGAACCGGTCAGTTTGAATTTAAAGCAAGCAATGTCAGTAAAAAGTTTCTACAAACTTATTTTGCGAGGGAAAAAAGATGAGGTAATAAGGGCAAATCATAGATTATTATTCTTGCAATGTTCAGATGGATAGTTCTCAATTATCGATAACAAGTCAGGTCACCTTTATTGCCTACGTCAAAAATATCTGTAAGAGTGAGGTTACACCTAGATAATTCTACAAATTAGGAGTTCGATTTTTTATGTCCATGTCACATTTGATATATGATTTGTAAGTCCAGAACAAATTCTCTACTTTCCAAGAGTGATGATTTGATGCAAATTACCTGCCAAATTACTAGAAATAGTTTGAAATCAATTTCAGTGATATGTCTTTATCAAATTACACAGGTCAAGAGTAACAGGGGACACAAAAATGTCACACTTTTGGACCCTGAATTTATAAAATGACCCACTTGTCATTATGGCAAAATAGTCATGCTCCTCTCTATTTCACAGTGTTTGATAAGTAAAGTGGATTCAGGGAACATGATCCAAAATGGCCGTCTCATAATAAAGTCAGTTCCTGGCAGCAAGCAGCTTTCATTTTGGTAGCTATCTTCGACACTTGCCTTTTGCTCATTCAGCCATTGTTCTCTCTGGAAACGTTCCAACCGCCACTGCGTGTCTTCGTCTTTTGCCTCGTCTCCTTCGTCGTCTGAGTTGCCAGGAAACAGGTCCAACTGAAAGTCATCACCTGACATTAAAATAAGAATACCATGAGTAAATGAAATAAACTGAATGGCTGGAAATAGACAAATACTCAACAACTAATATCTGACTATGTCTGAACCCTGTTGCAGCATTATTTCCAAAACCTTCCCCTAAAATTCCACAATAGCCATTATGGAAGTGAAGTGCAACTTTTTATTAATTGGTGGCAGGTATAAATGAAATAACTATGTTGCCTTCACAGAGTGTTGTTCAAATAACAACACTCTGTGAAGGCAGAGATTGATGTTATGTACGTCATCTTTAATGATGGTATGCTCCGGTCAGTGACAGCACTGATTTCCATGGAGGCCTTCAGATTTACAATGTGAATCAAAGACATACAAGGGTGCCTCAGGCAGCCACCAAACGGTCCACATTTGTTAAGCAATGCTTACTGAATCTTGTTATCTCCCAAACTGATCGCTTTACTTTTACTAGAGACTCCAGATGTTTGCATTTGTAATGCATTTTCTACATCAAAAGACTTCTCTCTTTTTCAATTATTTTTTTTTTAAAACTAAAGTAGTGCTGTTTAAAATTCAAATTGGGAAATAGTTTGTCAATTTTCAATATGTTTGGAGCCAACATGAATTATGTTTGTTTTATATTGTAGACATTCAGCTGCCACTGCAATCATTTCATTTCAAATGCTCATCAACATTTACAAGTTCTGCCATCTTTTCAGGTGCACGTGTCTCAATTGGACTGATGACTCTTATAGTGAGTGGCCGAGGCTTAGTAGAGGCAAAAAAGGTGACTGGAATGTGTATCCAGTTCATAAGTGTGACGTCACTTCAGTTTAAACCACGCCCATTGCACATGCACTGCACACAGAGTTACACGAATTGATAGCCATTTATTTGGAACCGGAAGTTAACGCTCAACTTCAGCGATTGTCCAATGGGAGCCTGCAAATCCTGGCGTGTCAGCCTTTGTGATGAAGTCACTTATGAACCAAATATGGACCAGTGAGAATTTTCTTCTAGCAATCATGCATATGTATTCATAAATACCTAAGACAGTCTCCCTATTCAACAACGTGCAACTTGACCGTGTATTAACAATTGCACGCTGAGAAGTGATAATGCCTGTTGTATATATCATGCGCTGCGAGACAATTTAACCAATCCTGATTGGTCAAGAGTCTGTGTGCCAAACGTGTCCCAATTTGCACAAGGATTAAACCATGAAATGGATGGGGGTGATTGGGAAAAAGAAAGTAAAATTCTAGAACGAAATGGCTGGAAATCCATAATATGGTCGGTTTCACTACGGAGTGACGTATTGCCATAGATAAAGTCTATGGATGGTACATCACTTCATGGTGCACCAAAACTATCCTAAATGTCACTTAGTGGTGAAACCGGCCATGAATTGACTTCTTTTGACTCTCTGACTAAAAAGATATTTATGAATGGGAATAAACAGTGAGACTGAATGCTGTTAGTTTCGTCAATTCTCTTGTGCCTGTCTTAAATGCACGTTTAGGACCGGCCAAGCACATATTTCTTCTCTTATTAACTATGGTAATGCTGCATCAAACAAAGGATTGTGGGAAAACTTTTCTCAGTTTCAGATCAACAGACCTGTCCTTGATACAAGACTTTATTCATTTACTCACCGACATGTCTCCATCGGAACTGCCTTGTTCGACCTTTGCCATCCGAGTACAGGTCACCGTCTGGAAGGTAAATCTCCTTGTACAGACGCAGTCGTCTGGCGTCGTCATCGTCCATTGTCTTCCTGTGAGAACAAAAATATAAGAATTTGATAACTGCGTCTGAAGCATGAAATGCAGGTGTCTAAAGACGATCACAAAGCATGGATACTGACGACTGTGTTTGCTTTAACGGCAATTAGTTACAAAGTCCACACCAGTTGAACAACTAGGATGCAGAGCATCTGTAGCATAAGGCCCAGGGTTGAATGGCATTAGGATGAAGAACAGTCATTTAAATCATCATAATGATGCATTAATTAAAAAGCATCAATGTTCATTGCAGAAAAAAAAACTCAAAATGCCTTTGTCACAGTTCATTAAAATGGCCTGGAGCATGACTCCAGACTGGTTGACCTATGGTGGACTTGGGGTGAACCTGCGATAGCATCAGCACGAAAGCTCATGGATCCACTCATAACTGTGGAATTTCCAATCTGATTTTCTCCTGTTCATGGCTTACTCACATGTGGACTTTGTTGACCTGCTCCCTGAGTTCCTCTTCCGTTCCGATGTTCTCCTTGTCTGCTTCATTTTGCTCCAGTTCATCGGGCATGTCTTCCGCATCGTAGTCTTCATCGGACCCAAACTCGCTCCCCGACAGCTCTGCCTCCTCCTCAAAGAAGTCTTTAGAAATTCTGTCAAGAAAATATAACAATGGCAATAACCACAGGTCTACGGGGTCTTTGGACAATTTCATGGGCACTACAATCTATCTTAATGTCGGCCGGATGATAATGTCGGACTACAACTTGCGATGGCTCCCAGGAATAATTTCAAGTAAACTTTGGTGCGCCAAGACATGTTTCATGATGAACCTGTCCGTAACTCATCTGAATCCCTTATTACAAGATCAGAAGATGCTGATTCGTATTGCTGGACACATTCTACATTCACTGAACAGTGAACACTGGATCAAAATAAGAAGGCACATCAGTGCATCTTCTCCAGGGTATGCTGTGTGTCACATCACCTCCGTACTGCTCTTCACAACCTACAGAGCAAGAGATTTCCTTCTGGCAGTTTCTTACTTGCTGAGAGCATGCCCTTTTTGTGATTTTCCAGGGAAAGTCTTCTTTTCTTGCCGTCCCTCCTGCTGAAGCAGGAAGCTCAACTCATCTTCTGAGTCGAAAACTTCGTCTCCATCCTCGTCTTCTGCCGTCTCCTCTGCATCATCTCCTCCATCATCGTCCTCACCGCTATCCTCATCTTCCATCACCCGGATCCTCTTTCTCTTCTTGGGTCTGCTGTCTTCACCATCACTAAGGGCTGGCTGGCTGTCTTGGTTACCATGGTTACCCTCATTGTCAGACACAATGTGGAAGGACGATTCGCTGTGGGTGTCTGCACCATTCTGGATGGGCTGCGTTGTCTTTGCCTGGGTATCTCTTTGACTGTTGACATAAAAATGTGATAACTGAGAGTCGCCAAAGTTTAAAAGCCAACTGTACACTCAAGTGCCACCCAAAGGAAGATTATTACCAAGAGATGAAGCCCCTTGTATTAATCATGCAGGGACCCTTAAGCCAACTTAAAACCCAAAGCTTTTGGCCTCAGAGGAAAGTGGGAAGCATTTGGGATACCAACTGACATAAGACACTCATAATGTGTGTGTTGTGAGCGAGTGCCTCATTGAGTACCATTGCTGCTTTTCATTTACAATGTTGATTCACTCTCAATCAGAATGTTCCGATTTTTAGGCCTTCGAAAACTCAAAAATCAGAATGGTTCTGATTAAATCAGAACAACTGGAATTCACCAATGTGTACCTTGCAAATGTGCCTGAGCAGAGACCCAGTAACTCGTCCATGTTACCCTGGGTAGCCTCAACTCGCTGACTACTCAGCTGAGAGAAGAGACCCTTCCTGATCTTACTGGAACTCTCGGGGGCTAAAATCAGATGGTTGAACAGAGAAATTAAACGAGAAATAAATGTGGCATATTGAGAGACAAATTATGCTAGCTGAAGAGTGCTTGAAAACAGTTCCATACACAGACATCACTTGAAACCATGTGCACAAACCGTGAGACTAGTCGGAAAAATTCTATGTAATTTCAATATTTTTCTTGTGAAATTTGATGTTTTAGGACATGTTTTAATTCTCTGATGGCTGATATACCACTTAAGGGAAAAATTAATGATGTCCGTATTGGAAAACTCTTACCGCGCACTGTCAAAAACATACTTTTGGTAACACTATGTACGTCAATTCTCACTGTGTAACTTCACGACAGTGTATTTTTGTTCTGTTGCACTAACCCTAGGCGAAAACTTTTTAGCCAGTTTCTTCGGTATTTTGATTGGAAACTGCACGAGACTTGACTCCAAACTAGACACAAATGCCTTTATTTTTCTACCCAATGTCAGACTGGGAATACAAGCATGTAACATCACCTGTTGTTATTAAAGGGCAATCAAGCCACTTACCACCAGTGAATTTCCCTGAGCACAGGCCAAGCAATTCATCCAGATCCTCCTGACTTCCGTTCTCAACTTCAAATAGCCTCTTGGTGGAGGGCTTTGGCTTACTGGCAGAGCGCAGCTTCAAAAACCTGCCACGGCAGAGGAAGAGTTTAAGATATGCATAAATAAAAACAAAATTAGGTGCCAAACAAACCAGAGTTAAAAACCCACTTTGTTCCATATCGGTTCACCATATTCAGTGTTGTGGTCGAGACCCCTTACGACAACCACAAAAACCAACACGACTGTTATAGTCTGAATTCCAGTCACTAGCTTTATTTTTTCATTGTTGTTACTTGTGACTGGTCTTGCGTGGTCTCCATCAAAAGTTGATTGAAATCTAATTGTGTCGTGGACCAAGACCGAGCCTCCGCGGATAAGGGCTTGGTTGAACTTCGACCCCATTATGCTGTCGAACTCACCCATTCTCATCAAGGAACTGTGTCTGGGTTTCGTCCTCCTCGTAGGAGAACCGGAAGCTTTGCGTTTCGGCCCCCGGCTGGGTTTCCATGGCAACGGTTAGGGAGGGGGTGTCCACCCGGAAGAGATCCTGGGAGTCCTCGATGGGAAGAGTCAGCTCGGACAATCTGAAAGAACTCTGCAGAAAGGAACATTGAAAGACAAAAAAATGCCCAATTTAGGAGGGATTATTCAATAGAAGACACAGCCCAGTGTATCAAATAAAAGGAAAGTCAACACACAACAAAAGTGAAAACAGCTGAAATTTATAAGAACCACCTTAAAAGCAATCCCATTGTGCTTTTTAATTAAACTATATATTCACGCTGCAGAGATAAGTAGACAATAATACTTCTTCCAAAGCCAATGAGCAACAGTCATCAACCTACTGCAAATCAGGATAGAGGTAAGCTGTTCTCAAATTCATGGAACACTCACTTTCGATGCATTCTGGAGCAAAGACCGGTGTTTTGAGAATGGCTTGAAGGCCTCCTGGGCTTCTTCAGATGCCTTGCGGCTGTTTCTTCTCAATCCACCTCCCGGTTGGTGGGCGGGGATGACAGACCCGATCAGCTCAAAGCTGGTGTCCAGGCTATTGGAGCTGGTATCCACCTGCTTGGGTAATTCACGATTTGAGTCTTCTTGTGTTGCCCCTGGTAAGAAGACAGCAGAAAAGCAGCAGTAAAAAAAAACTGGGTTTTCTTGAACTAAATTTTAGAAGAACAAAAAGCTAATGTTGTCATAACCAAGTTCAAGTTCCAACAATGGATTAACCTCTAGTGATCAAGTCACTTTATCTAAGTGTACTATAATCCTGCTTTCAAGTCAAGCCTTTGTGGAGAAACGTTTGTCGATGACATTTCCCGTAGCTTTTGCTACTGAAACAGTGGGTGTTGTATCTAAAATTATCACATCAGTGGTTCCTTAAGGAAATCATGTACAAAACAAGGGCAAATGATGCAACCATTTGCCTCAGTGTAGTTCCAAATATATGGACTAGACCAGTCCTTCCTGTTTCTGTTGGAGTGAGTTGCGCATAGTAAACCATGTCACTCATATTTGCTCCTCTGTGCCTGATAAGTATTTAACCCAACAAGTTATCACTGACATAAAGGGCTTCTTTGTATATCAGGGCATCGGAGTTTACAATGCAATAATCCTCTCTGAGACATCTACCACTTTATTTGATTCGAAAAAGAATCCCAGTTCTGATAAATTACGACTCTTATATGCACGGGCTAAAGTTCTTTTACTCAGATATTAAATGTGAACATTAAATAATACAGATCAGAAAAAAGGACCAAGTAAAGATACACATTGTCTGATCAAACTTACAATATTGGCTTTATCTGACCAGCCCCCCCCCGATCTTTTGTTACCTTGGGGTTTCTTGATAGCACTCCAGCTGAAACTTGTCCGTCCAGTGAAGGATTCGCTAGCCTTGTCAGTCTCGTTACTCCCGGTGGTTCCTCCTTCAGTGTTGCTGGTGGACTCAAAAAGGTCCCTCGTCTTCTCCTCAAGGGTCAGATGAGCCTTCCTGGGTGACCCAGCCTGCTGCATGATGGCCTCACCCAGCTTGTCGATGTCGTAGCTGTCTGTAGTGCTCTCTTGACTGTTGCCGGACTCTGTTAGCGGTGGAACTCTTGGGGAGGTAGTGTTGGAGTTTGGGTATTTGGAGCTACCTGGGCTGTTTACTTCTGACCCCAGGGTGAGTCCTAAATGTTTGGCTGGAATTTGCATCAGGGAATCATCACGGTCTTTTGAAGGAACAAAAAAAAGCAAAACAGATCAAAAAAGCATTGAAAAATTCTCCATTAAAGCCAGAATGGACGAACGAATGATTTTTTTCTGTCAACGTAAATAAAGACCATTTCATTAGAAAAATTGGGAGTCATAAAATTTTCAGAAGGCAAACATTTATGTGCAAAATTACAAGCTGAAGGAAAAGAGAATGTGATTCTCTTCTTAAAGAGCCACAACAATCTCAAATCATCAAACCATTTCAAATCAGCTATCACAGCTTATCAACCAGAACAGTTCTTTTGAGTAAGCTAGCAAGTAGGGCATGCTCACCTTGGTCCGTCTTCTCTTCTTGCTCTTCTTCATCGTCAGCATCAAGATGCAGCTCCAAGGTCGGACCACTTGACGTCTCCTCCATCCTAGCAACATCATCTCTACCATCACCATCATCATCGTCATCATCATCGAGAATCATTGTTTTCTTCTTCGCCTTGCTGGTTGATGCCCTTTTAATTTTGTCTTCTTCTTGGTCATCGCTTGTATCTTCGTCATCAGTTTCAGCAGAATAGACTCGAAGGTTTTCCGCATCATCGTGTCGCATTTCCCTGTCTTCGGCGTCACTGGCGTCACTGTCACGTCTGCTGCTGTCTGTGTCACTATCATTGTCGTATTCGTCACCGTCTTCTCCTGGTTCGTAATCCTCATCATCGTCGTCCACATCTGCTTCATGGTTTATAAACTGACTTTTTTTGATCTGCATGACAACAGAATCAGACCAAAAGAATTACTGAAAAGTCTGGATGGCACTGTTGGGATTTTTTAGGTTACTTTAATCAAGTTTCACAGTTATTTGATAATCAGAAAGTAAAAAGGGGGAGGGGAACGGACACAAAAGTTCTCCCTAGTTTGAGCGTATTATTTTCCATTTAATGTACATCATATTCAGCTGAAATTGCCCAAGTCCTAATCCAGTCACAAGTCCTTTCATAGGTAGCAAGGTGTGCAATAATAACGAAAATCCTGTTATCACAGTTTATTTCAATGCTGGTGACCTGGCTTAAGACTGAATGACTTGTGATGGACCTGCAGGGACAAACTTGTGATGGACTCAACAATAACGCTACTATTAAAGGGGTTAAGTTCTTGGAACAAACATCGAGACAGTTTCCTCTGCTACCTTCTTTTCCTTCCTGGTATCTCGGAGGTCACAGTCACTCCGGTCATCTCGGAGGTCAACGTCACTCTGGTCATCTCGGAGGCCGCCATCACTATCATCATCCGTGTCACTCTTGTCGGTCATCTCACCTTCCTCCTCGTTGTAATCCTCGTTGTCAAGACGATAGGCCTCCTTCCGCCGTTGGCGTTCCACTTCTCGCCTCGCTCGCATCTTCTCCTGAAGAGCTTCCTTCAGCTTCAGCAGTTTGGCTCCTGACAGCATAAAAAAATTAAAGTTCTTTACTTGGCATCTTTTAAAGGCTATTTAGCCACTGAAAAATTGGAAAGAATATTTAATGAAGAAGATCACTTTTGTGTATATTTCAAAAAATTTGCTGACTAGATGCCTGGAGGCATATAAAGAATCTTCCAGAAATACGAAGTGTTACATAGAACCTTCCTCAGGATTTTTTAAAAATGTTTTAAAAAACTTCCTTCAAAGGAAATGTTCAATCTTACTCATTCCTACAACGAACATAGATCAACTCACTTCAATTTGGGGTTTTAAACACAGTTAGGTGTAAATAAAAGTACAATGACAAGTAAGGCTTTGATGACTAGAAAGGAATTTTATTCCCATCTGCCATTGAGCACACCACCTAACACATTACACATGTACCAGAAAAAAAACGTACATGCATGAATACACATTTATAGGTAACAGGTGTCAATGTGGAGTGATTCATCAATTGGTATGCCACAAAAAACTTTCCAAGTAGTAGGGCTATGCCAAATATCCAAATATTTTATTATCTAATATTCAAATATTATATTATTTGAATATTTAAATGAAAAATTAATGAAATGGGAGGCTTTTCTTTTGTGCACTCTGGAGGCTTGTTTCAAGCAGATTTAAATGAAAAGCAACAGAAATCTTAAGACTCAGAATCTAATTTAAATGTTAAAAATTTGAAAGGAATAGAAATTTTCAACAGAGCGTGAAGTACTGTTCGTCTTGTAAATCTTGCTAACTCCTGGCCAAAGATACTCCTAGAAGTGGGAAGCTGTTATAGTGATCTTAATGAACAATTGTGTGTGTTATTGCAACTGATTTTGTATAACAATATGCTGGTTCGTACGAACGAATACTCGGATATTCAATCGAATTGAAGGTCCAATATTTGAATAGTGAATTATTCGTATTGACTCAACCCTACCAAGTAGTGGTCAATTTAATGATATTGTGAGAAAAAGATCCTCAAATGGTATTCCTTAAGCATAAGGACTCAGCAGTTTGTACATTTTAAGACACTGCAATTTAAGTTGGTACTTTGCATGTATACATAATAAAGTATTTCCAAGGCTGAAGTTGTATTTCTGACTATGTGATACCAAAGCTGGATCTACGCTTTTCTGCTTAGCATATAAATACCAGCTTACCTGGCACGTTCAAGCTAGGGTCTTCATGATCCTCTCCTTCAATGGTCACAGCCACTGTCTCCAGTTTGAGATTCTCTTGGCCGTCTCCTCCCGTCTCCTTGCTTACAACACTACAAGCAAATTGGAAACATTACGTAATCACAGTTTGCCAGGCACTTATGACTTGAATGGCAGAGATGGTGTGTGACGCTCTGTCACTATAAAAATACACAAACCATTTACAGTGTCCTCTAACCTACAGTCTAAAGAAGTAGCCTGGCGGTCCAAGTCTGCTCATCTCCTATCATTTTTTAAAAAGGAGCCACCAAGCTCTAAAATCTGGTCACCACGTTTAAAGTTCTGCGTGCTAGATTTACATTTTGGAATATCTTGCACAATATTTCGTAGATAAAAATGTGATGAATGTATAAAATTCAGTTGTGCAAAAAATTACGGAGAAAACAACCTTTTATCTTGACGTGTGTGAATATTCAAGACGAAAAGTAAGCTGATTTGCATAATAACTACAAGCAATTAATAACAACACCAACAATTTTCATGTAGTGTTTCCAACTTTCATTGCAACAAACCTGATGTTACGACTCCACCAACCTGAGTTTAACCTCCTTTTGTGGCCTGGGTGTACTCCTTGCTGTGTGTCTGACAAACCTCTCCATCAGGCGATTCAGACCTGGGTTGCACGGTGTCGCAAAGCCAGCCTCAGAGTCACTGTCGGCATCATCCAGATCAATCACCGACTCTTCCTCCCCGCTGAGTCTTGGCGTCAAGGTCTTGACTTTGGAGAGGCTGGCCTCCAGGAGCTTCTGTCTGTGGGACTGGGTGAAGATGGGGGTTTGGGATGAGGCAGGCTCCCTGTCTGCAGTCGATGAAGGTGTGATGCTGATGTTAGCATCGTCCTCTTGCACTGCAGAAGTTGCTACCGGGATGGTTGCATCGTGAAAATGCAAGTGGTTTTCTTCCTCATCAAGGTTGACAGAAGACTGCATCCTTCCCTTATTTTCATCTTCTTGTCTTAAAATGCCATCTCCCTTCATTTCATCTTCAAAAGGTCCGATTGTTTTTGGCGATATGCAAGTGAAACTTTGAGCATCCATATCAGAAAGGTTTCTATCTTGTGGCTTCAGTGTATCCTTTACTTCAGTGTCGATTTCCGCAATCATAGTTTCACCCATGACAGTGTCTGTCTTTTTATTCCTGTCAGATAAATCCTTAACTGGTGAATGAACTTTACTTTCCTCTTCCACATGACAATCTTCCCCTAACTCTTCAATTGAAGTATTTACATCAGATAGGACCTTCTTCTCAAGAGGAGAGATCTCCTTTCCTCCATCAGGAAAGTTCCCCGCATCAATAATAATATTGGTACATGTACTTTGTGAGAGTGGGCCATGCAGATTTGACTGAGCACTGGTTTTTGATGAGACCTGTGAACGAGCTGTACTTTCATTCAGTACGACGGGCACTGCACTGTTTTGCTTTTGTACAAGAGAGGCCATCTGCCGACATCTGAGGAAATAAAAAGGTAAATGAAAGGAAAAGAATACTTTTGATGACAAATAGATTGAGTACCACATCCCTCGGTGGTGCAATTCCTTAAACTTTCCATTACTGACCTAAAAGACCAAAAATGATCAGACAGTCAATCCCAAAATTACTTTTCAGAGTTTTCAGTTAGAGTGGATGAAAAAATTAACCTTTAGTTTGTTTTCATGTCTTACTTGAAAATGAAGGCAAATCTCTACACTTTCCTGGAACAATGTTTGTTTAAAATCTAATGAAGGGACAAGATGATTGATGCACAGCACGTAATGTTTATAGTACTACTGTTATGCAAATGAGACCTATGCTAATTTGCTGACCTCTTGCATCTTAGGGAGCTCATTATGGGACAGTATGCAGCCTGGTAGGGAACCAGGAATAACACTGACTTTTGAACCCTGTATTCAATTCATCTGTAATTGCTTATTGGAGTTATTTTAAATCCATTTCATAAACACTACAATGGCTTACTTGGAAAGGCCTTTGAGTGGTTTCACTGACAGCATGCCAGAGTTTGAAGGCTTCTTGCTGAAAAAGTCATTCAGGGACAGCGGCTTAGGCTTATGGTAGGGAAGACTCAAATCAGACTCTGCAAAATCAACAAAAAACAACTTCATCTTAGATTAGTGTATTAATCTAAGAGTAATTTGTGAATTAAAGTTTAGATTGGCTGTTAATACGTGGACATGTAGCTACCACTAAGAGCACACATGACAGGCATGGTATATCAAGTGAGGACCTGTGATCAAAAGAGGTCCACACAATGTGGGGCATGAATGCCTTGTGAGGACTTACCCAGGTCTGGACAATTTCCCCTCTCAGATCAAACTGTATAAGAGGTTTTTTGGGGGGGGATTGGGTTATTAGAACAAAATGACGAGGAACGCTTTAGGAAATCATGATTGAAAATTCAGGTTAAACAGGTGTTCACACTGCCAAGTACAATGAGATATTTCCTAGGCTTTTTCCTAGCTACACAAAACAAAGGCATTTCCGTACTTGGAGTATAGCATAAACATGGATACGCACATCAATTTAAGCTTTGCTGACTGCATAAACTTTTGGAACACAGCCAAATCAGGTCCTTGCAGTATCTTTGAAAAGGTCCACCCAATTCTGACAATAGAGGGCAAAGATGCGTACAGACATTAAAATGTAGCCACATGCACACGCTTGAAGGAGAAAATAAACACTTCGAAACAAGACTGACTGACCTCTGATTAGGCGTTGGCTCTCACTGTGGATTTTTTTGATGTCAGTCTTTGGAACCCTGCGATTTCTTGACTGAGCTATGGAAGACTGCAGAAAAGAAAACATCATAAATCAATGAAAATCCTGCCCCGTTTCATTCAGCTAAAATGTCATATGTTCTTTCAACACTGTTGGCAATGACTGGCCAATGAGTTTGCATGATGGGTCAATCCCATGAAACTTCAACTTTATGTCACTTTTATGAAAAAATCTTCCACAATCGTGAATTAGAATGGAGAGGCAACTGGCTAATGGCCAAATTCTCAACAAATCGTGGAATAAGATTGATGGATGGAGCAAAGATTGAGCAATTACGTAGGTTGACTGATTGCACCCCAAATGGTATGGACAGAAGTCATAATTCCCCCTAAGCAAAGCTTGTATAAGGATGAATTTCTTGAGTTTACTTCGGTTTCCTTTTCATTTCAAACATTGTTTACACTCAGGATATGACCAGAGATTAAAAAAGTCGGATATTTGAAAACTAAAAAAAAAAGCTAATATTGAAAGTTTTTTCCTCAGTACATGTATTATTAACAGTTACATTGCCAAAAGTAACCTACTTGGAACTTTGTGATGGAATGTAAGATTGTTATACACATGGTAAACTCCTCTTTTACAACCTACTAATTATTCATATTCACCACCTTGTGCATTATCCTACATTTCTTTAAATGGGCCCTCCGTAGAATTCACACAGTAGGTTTCCAGAATACTCTCAATATACCTTTGCTCTTTTACTTTTGCTGATAGGTGATTTCTGCCGGTGGATGTCAGGTTCATTTTCTTCGTCGTCGGAATGAGACGATGCTCTGTCTTCATCATCTGAAGGAGTAATGTTGATACATGTACGTTTATGATGGGTACACTGCCTTGTGATCAGCACCTGACCATCTCAGACAATTCAAAAAATTGGTCAGCAGGTTTTTGGAGAAATTTGCAAGGCCGAGCAAGTAATAGGTTGCAACCCAGTAACTGTGACTCTATGAGGGGCTCGAAAGTTAACCCTAACCCTCCTCAATCCTTCACCTGTTGGAGGATTGAGGAGTGTTAGGGTTAATGTACACAGATTGTGTCACTGGTGGAGGATTTTGAAAGTTTTAAGAAGATTCTTGGCAAGATGCATCAGCAGGGAGAATTGCAGCCAAATGGACATTAATATTGTTATGTCCCAAGTCCCAACTGGGAATTGGGGTTTCATGCACATTGTACCCTGTTTATCCCAACTTTGTCTACTGCCCCAACTAAGAAGAAAGTAAACCGTAACAGGGATACAACGTCATTAACACAAGAAATGAAAATGTACTCACCCTAACCAGGCAACCATGAAATAAAATCATTTGAAAACTGTCCTGGCCAAGTAAATTGCAATTTCATCGGAGGTGCTTTTTTGTGTTTAAACGTACATGTAATGAGCTTTTGGCCAAAATGATTTATACAAGAGCTAAATTAGAAATCAATAAATTACCACATACCATCTAATTTGCAAACATTTATGATGCCTTACAACACACAGTACTTGTATGTGCTATGCAATGGGAGTGTTACTGGACAATGAATATGCAAATATGCAGAGTTACTATCCAACTAAAGTTGAGGATGCCTAACTGTGCACAACATAGCTGTTGAGTGTGGGCCGTTGAGATCTGACAGTCCAAGGTTTTCCAATACTCAACTCCGGCTCTGTCTCAGGCTTCAACTGTTTTTTAACTAGCTGACGTTGAAGCTGTAAGTGCAGTAATTAGTTTAATAGTGCCACAAAACATCAAATAAGGTGCAAGAGAGCCAGAAATTACAGTAATCCAATTTAATTTAAACGCTTCAGGCCCACAATCGGGGATTGGTTTTGGGAACGAAGCCTGAGATGGGGCCTAAGTCGAGTATTGGAAAAGGGCCCGAATTCCAGCAATGCAGTCTTATTTACAAAGGCTCTTGCTGAATTGCTGTCTAGTTCAGCAACATTCAGCTCCAATATAACAAAAAAAGGTGCCTAGGACTTGTCTTCAAGTTTCAGTTTATGACCTTGATGGCGAGGGCTGTCCTCGTGGATCGGGGAGGTACGTCTATCAGACTGTGGTGAAGCAACTCCCTGAAGGGGCGGTGTGGGAGACCTCCTTGCGTAGTCAGCATCGGAATCGCTATCTTCTGCATCAAACAGATCACTGTCCAGCAGTAAAGGCTGCACTTGCAGAGGCTGAACCTACAAAGACATGCAAGAAGTCAGAAGTCATGCAGGCAGAAAACTAGGAGTGACTCAAGAAACAGTATTGTTTCTTTAAATTTTACTCTCCCCTAATTCTATCTTAGAATTCCAGCCGTAGCCAAAAACGTTAGCATCTTAGGAGGTATAATCATAATTAGGTGAAATTCAGGATCAACATGATTAAAAGTTTTATTTTTAACTCGGTAGAGAGTTAGAGCCTCGGCCTTTATAACAGATCAATCTTTTCAAACATCAGTTTGGAAATTGTTTAGGACACCTATTTCTTCTGATCTGCTGATGGGCACCCGGAAAAAATGTGGATGCCTCCATCATCTGATCATGTCCATGGACATGATGGATGCCACGGATCATGGTCCACCACCAGATCAGCCCAAGAACATAGTGGAGGGTAGGGCTAGTCATGGCTAGCCCCACTAGTGTGGCACGGACTCTCACTCCCGATCCATCCATCCTTAGGATGGATCGGGAGTGAGAGTCCGTGCCACACCAGTGGGAAAATGGTCAACATGGTCAACATGGTCAAGACTTCCGTTTTTCTGCCTAGGCCCTACCTCAGAATTTTCCACTCCCAACATGATCTGCCAGCTTCTTCTTCTTGAAAAAATGAATTTCGGAAAGGTGAAAACGTTAAACCAAACAAGCACAGACTCCCAAGTCGTACAGTGACTACTGCAGTAACGCGAACGTCAGTAACTACGGTCATGCATAATGCCTGCAGCACAAATCAACAAAATTTTGTCTTCTTGGACTTGGCGCGCTCAACATGTGACCTCTGAACCCAGACTTGCCCAACATTTTGTAGACTGATTACATGTCCTGACAGTATTTTATGTCGTGGGAGATTGTGTGTAAAGTGTGTGCCATGTGTGTAACGGGGGGGGTGTCATGTTTCTACTACATTTATGCCGCAAATTCTGTCTGTGACTTCACTTAAATCACCTCTTAGACCAGCCTTTTTACTTTTGCTTTAATTGCAAGTGCATTTTCTGCATAATGTCACTGCAAGTATTTTTTTCAGAAAGTCGATCAAGCAGAAAAAGAGGACAGTATAGTTTATACATGCACCGAATTATGGAGGGGGGGGCAAGCATCTGAGAAATTTTCCTCATCCCCATGAGTTATGACAATGGCTGAAAAGGTCGACGTTCTCCTTCAGAAGTTCATTGTCAGTATTGAGAAAATTTCTGCTGAAGCTAACAAAATATATTCTAGTTCAAACTAGTACTAGTCTATTTTCTTTTCTTGACGATTGCCATGACTTTCACTGCATACCAACTGGACTCCAATGATTTAAATGTACATGTATTTCTGAGCGATTTGAAAGTCAGTGCGTCCGAGTATTTTAGCTTTGATCGTGTGCATCTACATCGAAAGGAAAATACATCTGGAGCCCTTTTTCATGTCTAGGACATATACACCAGTCTATTAATTTAGCATGGACAAAAACGTAAGAAGAATTAAACATGAAATAATGAAATATCGGCATGAACACAAGTTTCAGAAATGATTTATTAGCTTTGAAAGCTTCTTAGAATACGCTTTTTTCATTTATTCGTCAAAAAATTATATTAATATGCATGATAGGACGCACTAAACTATTAAGGATCACACACGGAGTCACGTTGTACGGTCACTTCTATGGTCAAGTGACTTTTCCACATGTTTGAGGGCGCTCGTCACATTTGTGATTTGTGTCGCGGATCCGGATAATGCGGGAACTCTCCCTGCATTTCGTGTTCGTGTAGATACATAACTTTTATCCAATTTTAATACATAAATCGAAGTCTTGATAACAAACCAAGATGTCCAAACGGAAGAAGAGTCGTGCTGTAATTGATTCCGATAGCTCCAGTGAGGGTAGTGGCTCCGATTTAGAGGAGGTAAGCCTATGCCCACCTCAGCTTGTTTCTCAATCCGATCGCATTGGTCATGTGCTTGTGCTTTCAAATACAAAATACGCACACGGCCTATTACTGGATAATCAACATTGCTCATCATATCATGGAGGATTTATTCCTCCATGATCATACACGGTCACACACGTAGTTCTGTGATTGACAGGTGTTTTCGAAAACAATGAATAGCTTTAAAAATTAATTCTTGATATTTATTATAAATCATAAGATGAAAATGGTCATGGTGGTAAGACTTCGGCTACATTTTTCATTAATACCATGAAAATTGACACTAACACAGGAACTACTTTCGCTGGCCAAACGGAAACGCACAGAACCAGAGTCAAGTCCAAAGGAGGCAACAACGCAGTCCTCACAGAAGAGTGACACAGAATCAGAAACATCAGAAAGTGACGATGAGGTGAATACGTCATGATTATGTCGGCCCCCTCCTAACAATGGACAAATCTGAGGAGTCACCATTCCTTGGGGGCTATCGCACTAACACACATTGTCTTAACTTGAGCGTGTGTACATGCTTTGGCAAATCACGGCAAGGATGGCCCCGTGGAAGGCCAAGGGCTTCTAATTCTTTCTGCCAGATTTGTCCACATGTATGTATGCAACGTTATTACAAATCTCTGGATTTATAAATTTGGTACACAGAAACCAGGGATGTCATTTTCATTGTCATGTTCAGGGATGTGTGGGATGAGGCTTAGTAGGCATGTTTTCAGAACTTTAAGGTTTTTACCTACAACCAACTGACAGAAAAGTTAAAAGTTAATGCAAACGAAGACTGAAGGTAAACAAATGAAATGGTATGTTGCGTTTTGTTGGGCGGTTGAGCTACGCTTGAATTGAAGACTGCTTCCCTGATGCTGTGCTGCAGAGATTTTACGTAAGCTCTAAAACTGACATTCTCAACTAAAGGATACGTCATGTTCAATGTTGTGTCATAAATAAATAATTATGTGTGGTTGTTACGATATTCATTTTCTTATTTCTCTTTTAGTGGACTGTTGGAGGTAACAAGAAGAAGAGAAGGGTCAAAAAGAAGGTCACTCAACGGCGAACCTCCAAAGCTCAATCAGAGGACTCGGCACTCAATAGTGACTCTGAGAAGTCGTCTCTGGAAGAAGGTAAGGCTCCCGGCATTTGGAAGATAGGGCAGTTAAAACCAGCATAACATTCCGGAGCGAGATGCCCTTATGAAATATAAAAATACACAGAATACGTCATTGACTTTCTGTGCTGTGGAAATCTTCAAATGAATCAAGAAGGTTCCTCGGCCAAAAGAACCCCTGCCAACTCTTTTAACAAAACTTGATAGTAAGAGGCTGATATTTGGATTTGACTTGAGCACTGACCTCCATCCGACACTTAACCCTTTCATTAGTGTTTTAATGGCTCCGGACTCGTTCACACTCAGTGTGTCCGAGCACAAGGCCAAAAGCTTCACATCATTGAAAATGCCTACTGGATTCTAAGCTCAAGTCCAGACGCTAGCCCATGTGGTATTTTTCAAGTCCTCAATCAGAGTGGATTTTTTAGGTTTCCACTTTTTGGCAGTTGTGACTGACTCATTTCAGTACATGACTGCAGTTTTAGTGCTAATCCTAAACCAATTTTAAAGTTTAATACAGTAAAACTCTAGATTACTCAAAGTCGGTTAACTTGAAACTCCACTTATCTTAAAGACATTCTTCATTCCTGCCAAAAGAATAGGCGTTTATGTACAAAATACCTCCGCACTCAAAATGCCCACACGACTACATCGGCTTTACACAAAGTTGTTTAATTATGGGCCGATCTAAAAAGACTGCTGCCAAATTACTAACGATGAGTGGAAAAAGAACACAGAGACTTTAGTTTTGAGTCATTTCTGCAAACTGCACTTCATCTTTTTGCATGGATACACAAACGTGCTTGCTGCCAGTGAAATTGTAATCCACTCGCCGGACTGCAACCTAAACAAATCCTAGCTTTCAAGTAGGCCTGATTGCCTATCCCGGCCTGATTGTAGCCCACACGCACGCGGTCCAATCGTTGATTCTTTATGGTGGCCATGTGACCGCCCTGAAGGAAGCTTTGTGCATGCCACGGCTAAAGCCTGGCTGCACTGCCTGCCCAATTGCAGCACTCACGTGCTGCTCACATGCGTCACCGAATTTCACTCAAATTTTTTTTAAAAAGGAAGGTAAGGGAATGGGCAAAACAAACAAAAACACACAAATATTGTATCTATTTATTTTTTTTTACACGCTAACATTTTCAAATGCAAAATGGTGCACCCTCAAGCAATTAAAAAGGGAGGATTATGTGGCCAAACAGGAAAATCCAGGGCCCAGCCAGCCCCAGCCAAGCAAGCAAGCACAGGGCTATGCACTTCATGTGTGCTGAATGGAAGAATTGTCACAAAAAGTACACAGTTTTGGTGTTTAATGTTTTATTTTTCAGTAGAATAGAAAATTTTACATAAGAAAAAAAAGGAAATATCAGCAAACTAATGCTTTTAGAAGCAATTCGTTCTGAAGGAAATAACCAATTATAACGCCTCCAATAGAGTACCGAAGTGAATATGTCACGCGTACAATTAGTGTGTAAAAGGCATTAGCGCGAGAACCAGCGAGTGAACCAACACCCGTGCGTACTCCATTCGTTTGAACTGCACTTTCTGGTTTACGGTGACATCACACTTCGGTACTCTATAGACACCGCGGGGCAAGTAGGGTTACTTGTGCATACACAATGTTTTATCCGAGAGCTTGCAAGAAATTTACAGGCTTACACAGGTTGGACTCAAACCCATGTCCTTCTGCTTACAAGTGGAGATCTGTGTATTAACCACTCAACCACCAAGCTTACCGGGATTAGCTCATCCAAACCTGATTTTTTTTTACATATGTCTGTACCTTTGTCACACGTGAATGTTTTACTCTCTGACCTGATGCCACACCCAGGCGAGGTGTCTGACTCAGACAGCAGTGATTCTCTCTCACCATCGGGTGATTCCGACTTGTCGGATGATGAGCCACAGTTCAAGGATGGCTATGACGAGAATCTGATGGGGGATGAGGAAGACAAGGCCCGGCTGGCTCAGATGACCGAGATGGAGAGAGAACAGGAGATCTTCAACCGACTGGAGAAACGGGAGGTTGCCAAAACAAGGTCAAGAAGGAACACCTAATACCTCTTACCCTTTTCTGCTGCTGTATGAGCCTCATGATTTTTTCACCAACTGTAGAGTTACCAAATTTGTAGTTAGATTTGAAACTTTGGTGCTAAAATTTTTCATTCAGTAGTTTTACTAGGAATGTTGACAAACAAAAAAGGTTGCTTCAGACTGTCCAACTTGACATCAATATATCTTCGGCTGAAATTTACTTCTTCTTTTTTTGAAGGCTGGTAGATCAGGCATACAACCTGTCCAGTGTCCACAGAGTGACTGATTTCTTCATTTATGACCTCATGTGCATGCTTCTACAGACTGAAAAACAGTGGACAAAGTCTTGTGCAGAAGTGCGTTTTTTCCCCCAGACTTTGCAGCTGCATGCCTGATAAATTTGGAATTGTTGTTGCTTGTGCCTTACAAAAATGCTGAATTTCTCTACGTTGAGTGGCACAGGTTGATGCAAAGTCAATCACTGTGTTCATTTGGAATGCATTCCTTTTCTTCAACAATAATCCAATTAGGTTAAATGAATAGTTCATTTTCCTTAAGTAAATTTATGTTTCTAGCAGACTAAAGTGGCTGTACACATCTTTGTCCAATCAGGTTTGAGATTGAGCGGAAGCTGCGGCAGGCCAAGAGGGAGCGCAAGCGACAGAAGCGCGACCGGCTGGCCAAGGAACAAGGCAACAGCGGCGGCATCCTGAGCGGCAGCCGACTGGCCTCCCGCAGCGACATCAGCAAGGAGAGACGCCGTACCATTGAAGACAAGAAGGACCGCAAGGCGCAGGCCATCCTCAACCTCAAGGCAGAGAGGGAAAAAAAAGAGAAAAAGAAGACAGGTGAGGATGACCCCTGACCCTAATCCTAGAACTGAACCCCGACATTACTTCTAACACAACTCCTGAAATAGAAGATATGAAGATCCACACTCAAGACCAAAGATGAAAGCAGGTGGCATTGAGTTCTCTGACCATTACACAAAAACTGAACCCCAACACTGACTAATCCTGAGAGCAGAGAAGTTGAAGAATACAGGTTATTTAACTGTAAACACATCCTGACCAGAAGCATAACTCTTACCATGATTTAGAGCTTGATTCTGATCTCAGTTTTTACCTTTAACATATCTTTTATCTCAACCCAGGAGCCTCATCTTGTTCCAATTGCAGCCTTAACCTGTACAACAATTCACAAGGGAAAGGAAAGAAAGGAAAATAAATTGGGCTCAGCAAATGGAAATCTAAGCCTAATTCTACTTTCAGCATCATTGTAACGTAGCCGCTGCCCTAAATTTTAGCCCCTACCACCTAGATTCTAACATCTTCACTTACACAACCAGGACCAGGTTATTTGATAGCACTGAGCTGAGGAAATTTTACTCAGGTTCTTGGATGTTGGGGTGTGTAGCAGGCCTCTCATTTTGCTGGTGTTATTATTCTTAGATGGAGCAGAATATTTGTGGAAGTCTATGCAGTGATTCAATTCTGCATTCAAAGTCCAGGCGTAAGATTTCTTGGTACCCAAAATACATTTCAAACTGGCCTTTTGCAGACTGTGGTCGAAAAGTGTCTGAACTGACAAGCTGTTGCCACTTGAATGGGTTCCTATACATAGCCCAGCAGTCTGTATTGTAACATTGTCAAGGAGTCTGGCTATTTGAACCTCAGTCTTGTTCAAGATGCAAAGATTTGATGGTGAAACAACTATTTTACAGACACCCTTCTGACAAGAAGAGAACCACTGAAGGCAAGTGATGTTTACTCTGACGATGATGACGAAGATGAGGAAGAGGAAAAGAAGAAGGATTCTTCAGATTCCTCAAGTAGTTCATCCTACGGAGGCTCAGATGAAGAGCGTAGCGAGTAAGTCATACGACGTCACCTAGTTTGTAGTTGTCATGGAAGTTTGTTGTTGCGGTGAAAATGTCGAGTCCTCTCAAAGACATCAGGATTCCTTGGTGGGATGAGTTTACAGAAAGTACGATAGCCCTCTCTCTTAAACAAAGCTTATAGGAAAACTGACTAGGTGCTTACATATTAATTGTAAAGAAACAAGAAATTGACCTGAGTGGGATTGGAACCTGCAACCTCCAGAACACACGTACCTACACTCTGCCAACAAAGCTACCAAGCCCATATTCTGTCGGGTTTATCACCTGCTTCACTCTTTGGCTCCAGAAATGGTCTGTAAGGCAGTGTCCAACAGTTATGACTATGGCTGAAAATGACACATGTCTGTATGGCAAGTAGTCACAGCCAGTTGATCAGATGATGGTAAGCATCCCGGCTGCAACGTGGTCCAGGATTTTTACCATCTGGGTAATATTGAAGGTGTTGTGGTTTGCACACATGTATGTTTTCACTGTGAGTGTGACAAACCAAGCATCTTGAGGTGAATAATAGTAGCAAGCGTGGTCTTGATGGAAAAAAGTTGAGGGAGTCCTTCACAATGTGTTATTATGTCCAATATTGTCAATCTCATTTCCAGCCTTACATTGTATCCTGTTCAATGAACCTTCCCTGCCATTTTTTTTTCTTTGGCAAGCAACTAATTTGGTTTAGAGGGAAGTTTGAGCTTGTGCGAAAAATGGAAATCGTTGATATAATGCAAATGACTTGGTGCACCGAGAAATTGCAAATGATGTGCATATTAAATGTAGGGATTCTACACGACTCAAAAAAATTTATGGATCATATTCACTTGTTGACCCCTGCAGCCAATTGGACTCTGAAACATATGACTGAGCAATTACATTATCATTCACATTCTGTGATGCTTATCCAATCGTGAACTTGCATAAGTAAAATCAATGAGGTTGACACTTGCCTGAAATTTTGACGGGCAAATGTCTGATCCTTTTATATTTTTGAGCAGTGTATACAAGGGAAAATAGACCAGATTTTGTGAGAGTCCAAATTGACGTGACACCAGCACTATGAAGGTCGTCTGAGTTCAATACGAGTGTTTTTTCGTTATTTTTCCTTTCTCCTTTGCCTTTTTTCCCCATTTCAGTGAGGATGAAACGCCAAGGGTTACGTTCATTTCCACCAAAGAGGAGCTCTCCAAAATCAGGTTGTCAAGGCATAAAATGGAAAGGTGAGGTATCTCCTCTGATATACTCGTTCGGTTATCCCGATGTGTGTCTTTCTATCAGCAGAAGTTTGGTTAGGACAAGCCTTTTTCAGAACCACAGAATCTGTCTAATTACATGATTTTGGTCAGCCACTTGTACTTTTTCATTTGTTTTTTCAAAATTAATCGAATTTCTGTCTTTTTGGAACTATAACCTTGAAATTTTGTTATCAGTGTACAGGACAGTCACAGCACATGACGTGGTTCTTGTGCCAAAGTGGACATTGTGACATATACATAACGTTATTACACATTGTTTATTAAACAATTTTAGCCAACTGAACTAAGAGATTCAATGATTTAGCATCTTTTTTTGGACTCAGAAGATTGTTTCCTGTTGATTTTATGTCCCATTTTGGTGAGTGTTTTTCTATTTGCTTTGATTCTTGTCAATAGATGGGTACACATGCCGTTCTTTGCTGACACGGTCATTGGATGCTATGTACGCATTGGGATAGGTTCCAATGGAGGTCGACCGATATATAGAGTAGGTTGTGCTTTGATGTCTCTCAGCTCTGACAATTCATGGTCAACTCGTATTTGACCTTGTGTTTTGATGCTTCTGGATTTTGTGCACAATTGTTCCTTTAGTGAGTGAAATGCAGTGGATATGTGTAGGCCTAATACGTTCTCATCAGTAGGCCGCAGGAAGCAATGTACAGTTTTCCCATGGTCACATATTCACTGTGTTGGACTGGATGCAATGTTTACGAGGAAATGGTAGCGTCTGATTGGTTCCCAGGACATAAGGTCACATTTTATCAGCCAGTAGCATATTACATAAAAGACTGCACAGGCTTTCTGTGTAATCGTAGACTAGAGATTTCATCACTTATAGTAGATGGATTTTGAAGAGAAACAGTCCGTTGAATTTTGGATTCTGAATGAAGTTGACTTGATTGGTGTAATGAGTATTAGTTACTGGGAAACTTCACTTTATTAAGCCTCCTATGCTGAAGTCACTCTTTGGGTCATTTGGTAAACACCTCAAGGAAGCACAGCTGTGTTGTGTTGTGCACTGCACCAACAGTCCCTCACAGGAATATCAGATTGCACTTTTGTGCTACCCAACAACTG